GTGGGACTTTCAAATATTGGGATATACATTTACCAAAAGCCACCTGGTTGGTCAACACCAGAGGATCTGCCAACAGGGCTGGCCCAGCCCAGTCAGAACTTTTACACACTGTAGAGAGGGATAAAGTTCCTGTGGTGCACATAAAGAATTTGCTGGGGAAGACACTCAGGGTTATTCCTCCTTCAGGAAAAGGCAAACCCACTCGTGGGATTGCTTTTGCTCAGGGACCCGGATATACTTGGTGTGTAATGCAGGAAGATGGGGAAGTCCGATGTGTACCTCAAGGGGTTTTGATTTTAGGGGAAAACAGCCAATGAACTCAATTATATGCTGTTGCCTGCTATGTAGCACTTTTATAGCCCACCAACTAGATGTCCTCAGGTCACCAGAGACCAGCCCTGACTTCCCTCCAATCATCATCCCAACAAAGAATGAATTCTGATGAAACCAGACGAGCTCAGCAGTGACCAGACGAGTTCCAATGGTGTCATCAGCAGGCAACAATCCAACGCTACACACCATCTTTCCTGCTCTGAAAGAGTGTTACAAGAGATGGAGCCCAGCGTCATGGATCAGATGAACTCAGCAGCTTTATAGGGATTAGTCCATGCTCTAAGGAATGATCTCTCTCTTTGTGTATGTGTGGGTGTATATATATATATATATACACACATGTATATGAGACAAGAGTGATGGTATATTGAAAAATGTGGGATCTGAGCATGATGTGAATGGTATGGAATAAGGGGTAGATACTGTCCTGGGTTCAGAAGTAGAAGTCATTTTTCTCCTTAGTAGCTGGTGCAATGCCGTGTTTCAGTGACTTTCAGTCTGGGAGCAACGCTGATAACACTGATGTTTTTAGTTGTTGCTAAGTAATGTAAGGATTTGTTGTCTCATGCTCTCCCAATGAGGAGGGGCACAAGAAGCAGAGACAGGACACCTGGCCCAAACTAGCCAAAGGGAAACTGGAGGGAGTTACCTAGAAGGGCTAGATAGCTGCTCAGGTCATGCTGGGTATTGGTTGGCAGGTGGTGAGCAATTGTATTCTCTCTCCTTGTTATTTCCCTTGTCATTATTATTATTGGTGGTAGCAGTAGTAGTTTTGTTTTATACCTTAGTTACTGGACTGTTCTTGTCTGAACCCATGGGAGTTACATTCTTTCGATTGTCTTCCCCATCTCTCCAGGTGCGGGAAGAGGAAGGGAGGGGGAGTGAGCTAGCGGCTGCATGGCGCTCCCCCTAGTTTATATACTGGGCATAATGTGCTGCAGTATGGAATAACCCTTTGGCCAGTTTGGGTCAGGTGTCCTGTCTCTGCTTCCTCCCAGCTTCTCGGGCTCCTCCTCAATGGCAGAGCATGAGATTGAAAAGTCCTTGATCAGAATTTAGTGTGAGCTGTCCCTTCCCCATGGCAGGGGGTTTGGAACTAGATGATCTTAAGGTCCTTTCCAACCCTAACTATTCTATGAATCTATGATTCTGTGAATAAACATTACTTAGCAACAATTAAAAACTTCAGTGTTATCAGCATTGTTCTCAGTCTAAAGTTGAAAACACAGCACTGCACCAGTTGCTAAGGAGAAAAATGACTGCTACTGCTGAACCCAGGATACTCCTGAAGCCCATGGAGGACCTCCCACTGTGGAACAGTTGGACATTTTCTGAAAAATCTCCAGCCCATGGAAAGCCCGTGGTTGAGCAGGGGAACAGTGTGAGGAGGAAGGAACAGCAGAGATGAACTGTTATAGACTAAACAAAACCCCCATTCCCCCTGCACCACGGGGGAGGGGGGGGGAGAGGAGGCAGGAATGAAGGAGTAAATTTGAACCTGGGAAAAAGTGGGAGGAGGCAGGAAGGTGGTTTTGATTTTCACCATCCTACTCCATTTTTAATTGTCAATAAATTAAACTTTTTTTTCCCCAGCTCGAGTCTGTTTTGACTGTGATGGTAATTGGTAAGTGATCTCCCTGTGTCTAGCTCAACCCACAGGCTTCTCCATTTTAATTTCCCCCCCCTTTGTCCTACTGAGGGGGAGTGAGAGAGCAGTTGAGTGAGTGTCTGGCAGCCAACCAAGGTCAATCCACCACACTATCTCTAGATAAAAGCTGCATCAAGAAGTTCTAGGCTCTTGTTGTTTACTTGTATTCAGCTTTGTTTCAAAGGAATTCTCAGTTTTGGTCAGAGAACTACTAAAAATTTGGCTCGAGAAGGTTAACTTATAATATGTCAAATTTCAACAAACAGGATACATAAACACCTGTGTGATCTGTGACATGTCAGAATGACAGCAATGAGGAAGAGAAGGATTAAGAATTACCAAACACCAATGAAGGGGAAATTCAAATTTTAACTGATCAGCAGTAGTAATTTGTGATCAAGGAATGATTTGGTATGGAGGATAAGAAAGCCCAACTGCAGAAGGAGTTAAACTGGCTAGAAGCAGGAATGGCAGAGACATTTCCCTAGGTGATAAGAAACAGCCACAGCTTTGTCCTCTTGTAGCAATCCTGGAATGCAAGTGCTCACCTTTGGGCAGCAGAGCTGGGCTAGGGTATGGACCCAAGGCTGGTTAAGGCACCCCATGCCAACTCTCACATAATTGGTGCAGGTGCAAGTGAATATAAGGAATCTTCTCCTGATGCGCCTTTGCAGACTCCTTGTAGGTCCATTTATGGCATTAGGACTGTCCAATGCATTGTTCATTAAAACTTTTTATATTTAATCTCAAACATATGTTTAACTCACCTCAAAGGTTACAATAAAAATTCCCCAACATTACACACATGTAAACTAAAGCTTAAAGTTAAATCAGTTTTTTATTCAAAGAACATATTAAAATGCAGCACATTTACTCTTCTGTTAAATCACGCCAAACTACAGCTTAATCATATAAAGCATAGAACACACCAATATTTCTTGCATGCACTTTTTAAGAAAAACAAAAGCAGTCTTCCACCTCAGTTTTTTTTACTTGTTATTTTACCCAAAAACTGTTACTTACACACAAGTACTTGAGCTGCCTAAAATTTTTCAACAGCTACACATAATTCTACTTGTCATATGAAAGAAGCATTTTACAAGTTGTCAAAAGCACTACAGATGACTGGGAAAATCAGTTCTACTGAATTAAGTTATGACTTGGATCTGCAAGTGGCTGGTGATTAGTCTTGTGCCCTGTGAAATACCACTCAAGCAATTTCAAGTTATGAATCACAAGTACAAGAAATTAATGCACAAGGCTCAATTTGAGATCAGACTACTGGTATGCAGCCAACAGAACAGTCAAAAGCATGTAACTGAAAGATTCAAAACCCACAGCCATGAATTACTAGGTAGTTTTACATAGCCTAAGAAGCCTGAAATGACTATAAAGTGTTTCATTTCATTAAGTCCAAAAGATTAAAACTGGAGTGCATTAATACATTATTTTAAACAAACTGAGTTAATACAATTTCTACCACAACAGGTATCAATTATCAGAGAACATAACCCAACAATTGCAGTTTCCTCTGTAGAATTACTACTTTTCTGAAACAGCTCTATGCAGCTAGTCAGTCTATATCAAATAATTGAACAATTTTTTTTCTTCTCACTTAAGAAAGAGGGAAAGTCTGAATTCTTATCTGAATTTCCTGACCTTCAATGAGAGGGAGGAGTTAGGAGCAAGTGGGTCAGTAAATATGACTTACTAACATCCCCTAAAGTAGTAGCTCAACCAAAGAGTATCCAATTTGGAAACAAAATTTCTGTAGCATATTACGGATCTCTGGTTGCCTTCCAAGAAAAATACAGAAAGAAATCACCATGAGACAATGGTATTTGAAAGTACACAAGACTCATGAGGTGACAAATATACTGCTAAATGTTTTTTATCTGCATCTTAGAGCACTAGGCAGTGTTCTGTACCTTCATTTATTTGGGAAATATATGAAATCACACAGTTAACATATTCAAAACTAGCTTTGGAAGCCTGTTTTCTGGTTATATAGTGAATACTTTTTTTTTATATGCTTAATTGATTGCTGTGCTACAGTTAGTGAACACAAGACTGGCATGTTATCCTTTATGCACAGTGAGTATGAAGGCTCCTGTTTGATAATAATCATATAAGAGCAATATTTTATAACTCAGTGTTTGCTAATAGATTTAAAATAGTTTAGTACAAATCAATACCACCCTGTCAATATCCCCCTTTATTAACAAAAGCAAGTGCCAAATCATTAAAGGGTCCAAAAATATCTAAAAAATATTACCAATTGTTTACCTTTGTCTAGACTTTGCAAGACTAATCATTTTCAGATAAACCCAACAATGTGCAAAAGTTCCTAACATCATACATTAGAAATAACATGTGCTACTCAAACCAAAAGATTCTTCTGAGATCAAATTAAAAAACCCCATAAAACAGCAAAGTCAAGTCTCATATTGTCCCTAAACCATGACATATAACTTGTACAGTTGCAGTGAAGATCCTGAACTATCTTACAACTTCCTGCATGAAGCAGTTTCTTCCCTTCTACAAGTTATCTTCTGCCTTAGTTATTATAGGCAAAAATATACTGACATTAGAAAACTTGATTCCATTGCTGCTTACAGTATCTTCAGGCCTACCACTTAATATAGTTTTGCTTAAACAGTGAGATACTTTCCATTTTCTCAGACTTCCAGTATCTGAAGAGGGCCTACAAGGATGCTGGAGAGGGACTCTTCACTAGGGACTGTAGTGATAGGACAAGGGATGATGGGTTCAAACTTAAACAGGGTAAGTTTAGATTGGACATAAGGAAGAAATTCTTTACTGTAAGGGTGGTGAGGCACTGGAATGGGTTGCCCAGGGAAGTTGTGAATGCTCCATCTCTGGCGGTGTTCAAGGCCAGGTTGGTCAGAGCCTTGGGTGACATGGTTTAGTTTGAGGTGTCCCTGCCCATGGCAAGGGGGTTGGAACTAGATGATCTTAAGGTCCTTTCCAACCCTAACTATTCTATGATTCTATGTGTACCATTCTGCTAACCACAAACTGTGCTCAGAAAGTGCTTCCTGTGAAAAGTTTCAAATAATGAGTTAATTTTGTAAAATTCTAGCTTCTCACAACATGAAGTTTGTCCACCCTGCATTATGTGGTTCCATATTTACAAGATACTTAAACTTTACATTTGTCTTTTACCTTACAAAAAAGTGCAACTCTATCACCCCATATTATGGGGCAACAGCAATCACTATAAATTCTACAGAACAGCAGCCTATGATAAATAAATAAGGTGCTTATATTATGCCCAGGATCTAACTGGTTAAGAACCACCAAGTACCACCATTTCATGAAGGCAGACTCCATTCCTATGCTACTGTCACAGTGGTGCCACAGCTAGGTTTGCAAGCTCAATAAGAGCCAATGCACCATGCATGTGTTCACGCTGCTCCTGGAGGCTGCGGTGAGCTGTTGAATGAGCGTTATTTTTCTCTTCATCATCCTCTTCATCAGATTGAAGAAATCCCATCCGGTCCTTCTGTTCCTGATCCATTTTCTGGATTGTTTCACTTTTCAAAGTGGGAGCATGCTGTTCTCTAGTCTCCCAGTATCTACAACAGAGGTGGAGAATGTTTTTAAATTATGTACAGTTTATGTAAGAACTACTATTCAAAGCTAGCAGACCTTCCAAGTATTGCTTTGCACATGACTAATCGCTGCATTTCTTTTTTCTCTTTCAATCCTTTTAAGGCACTATTTAAGCTATCAGAAGCCTCCTTTATTGAGCATTTAAAGTGCAAAAGTGTCCAAGGGATATCTGATCTTTCACACAGCTCTTTCTAATACAAGGTATTCCCACCAGTCAGCTCTCCCTGTACATTGTTGTTCCTCACACAGATGCAAATTCAGCAGTAATGACTGTAGCACTAACATGATATTAGCAGGTGTTGTTCAAGCAAAGCGAAGCATTTAAGTAGAGAAGGAAAAACAGACAAGAAAGCCTCATGAGGAACTTTGTCTTAACCAGGAGTCAGTACTTAAACAAAAGGGGAGGCTGGGTTGAATCATACTAAAGGAACAGCTGGGTTTTGTTTATTGTTTTTCTTTCCTTTTTTTTTTTTCCTCCTAAGAATAAAACACTTTCTCAGGCCACTCTGTGTTATAAATTTAGAGAGAGATCACAACATGAGGAAACTTACTTCGCTAGCCACTCAGCTGCAGCTTTATTGTCAGCCTTCTGTTTTTCACTCAGTCTGACTGTGAGTTCTTCCCTCTTCAGCCGGGCATATGGGTGTTTGGGGCAATGACGGTTTGCATGTGTGAATCTGATTACGCACCCTTAAAAAATCCACGAAATACCAATAGAAAACACATTAAGGAAAGCAGTCAACTGACAAGTTAGCATGGAATTAATCCAACCTTCTTTACTCCATAAAAACCTGGATCCAATTGAAAACAGCACACTAGTTGCAAGGCCCACAGCATACCTAATCATTTTATGCAATGGTATTGACTGATACAATTACTGATAACCTGGCTTACATAAATCAAGCATGCAATCCTTCTATCTAAGTTGCATGATTCTGTGTGGCTTTTTCCTTCCCTAGATGCTCCCCGAAAATTAAGATCCAAAGCTTGTATATATAGCTGCCACATGAGCATCTATACATTCCCAGTACTAGACTGATACTAATTCTGAAAGCCTGAGCTGGTTTCAGGTGGGATAGTTAATTTTCTTCCTAGTGGCTGGTACAATGCTGTTTTCGATTATAGTGTGAGAATAATATTGATAAAGCACTGATGTTTTAGTTGTTGCTAAGTAGTGCTGACCCTGAACTAGGACTTCTCAGTTTCTCATGCTCTGCTACTGACCAGGTGCACAAGAAGCAGTGAGGGAGCATAGGACAGATGACCCAAACTAGCCAAAGGGATATTCAATATCATAGGATATCACACTCAGTATATAAAATGGGGGGGAGTTAGCTGGGAGCCACTGATTGCTGCTCAAAGACTGACTGGCTGGGCATTGGTCAGTGGGTGGTGAGCAATTGTATTGTGCATCACTTATGTTTCTTGATTCCTCTCTCTTTCCTGTTAGTTATCATTACTGTTACTGTTATTATTTTTAACTTTATTTCAATTATTAAACTTCGTATCTCAACCCACAGGTTTTAACTCCTGATTCTTTTCCCCATCCCATCAGGGGTGGGGCGGAGCAGGTGAGTGAGCAGCTGTGTGGTACTTAGTTGCAGACTGGGGTTAAACCATGATAAAGGCACAAGTTATTCTCTGAAGCCTTACCGTTCTCTGAGCAGATGAAAGGCTTTTCCCCTGTGTGAAGACGCTGGTGAGTTTTGAGTTGCCCACTCTGAACAAAGGCTTTCCCGCAGTCTGGGTAGTCACACAAATAAGGTCTTTCACCTTTAAAACCAAAACAAAACAACACCCAGAAATCCCCAAACAACCAAATGTCCTGGGTTTAGCAGTACCAGTCAATTTTTTCTCCTTCATAGTAACTGGTGCAATGTTGTGTTTTGACTTTCAGCCCAGGAATAGAGCCGATAACACCGATGTTTTTAGTTGTTGCTAAGTCATGTTTACTCTGAACAAGAACTTTGTGGGTCTCATGCTCTGCCAGGGAGGAGGGGAGGCCGGGAGGAAGCAGAGACAGGACACCTAACCCAAGCTGGCCAAAGAGGTATCCCATACCACAGCACGTCATGCCCAGGGGGGAACTGGGAGTTACCCAGAAGGGCACAGGGCTCTTTTTTGGGGTCAGACTCGTTTCAGCAGGTGGTATTGTAGTCTCTTCCCTTGTTATTTTCTCTTATCATTATTACCATTGGTGGTAGCAGTAGTGATTTGTGTTATACCTTAGTTACTGGACTGTTCTTATCTCAACCCGCGGGAGTTACATTCTTTCGATTCTCCTCCCCATCCCTCTGGGAGTGGGGGGGGAAGGAAAGAAGGAGGGAAAGAAGGGGGGGAGTGAATGAACAAGCTGCCTGACCGTTTTTAAACCACGACAGTTCTTTTTGGCAACCAATATGGGGCATGAAGGGTTGAGATAACGACAGATCTGACCGGAGTGTGTCTAATCATATTTGTGATAAGCATTCATTGTTTTAGATTAATAGTCACTCGTCACAATGCTGATTTATTGGCTCTAAAACTTGTTCCTCTTGATCTCACAATTTCAGTATATCGTACCTTACTTCGAGCCAGTATTTGCTGTATTAGTGTTTTTCAAGTGCGGGGCTTGGGCTAAGGTTCTTGTCTCATTGTACTTTATGGTAATGACTTGTAATACAACAGAATCGTTGATCATGAAACTGCTTTGGTTTATGTTCCCAGTGTGGTCACCACCTTTATACTTTGGGAGGTATATAATAAAAGTGCTTAGCAGTTACACAACTTTTTTCTCCTTCTCAGGTGGCTAACCTGTGAAAGAGACATTCTTTTACCCTCCCAGTCATCCACCCCAGACCGTTTACAGCATCATTTGAGAGTTTTGAAGTTTTTCAATGGCCTTTTAATACTGTTGAGACCTCTTTGCTGATTGTGATGGTATCCTGGGTTCAGCAGTAGCAGTCATTTTTCTCCTTCTTAGAAGCTGGTGCAGCGCTGTGTTTTGACTTTCGGCCTGGGGACGGTGCCGATAATACTGATGTTTTTAGTTACCGCTCAAATGTTTTAGTCTGGCCAATGACTTTCTGAGCCTCATGCTTTGACGGGGAGGAGGGGAAGCCAGGAGGAAGCAGAGACAGGACACCTGACCCAAACTGACCAAAGAGGTATTCCATACCACAGCACGTCATGCCCAGGGTGTAACTGAGAGTTACCCGGAAGGTCTGGTAGACTGCAGGGTTGGAGTAGGTATCGGTCGGTGCTTGGTCTGGCTGGGGGGGGGCGAGTTATCGGTCGGCTGGTGCTGAGGTGTTGTATTCTCTTCCCTTGTTATTTCCTTTATCATTATTATTATTGGTGATAGCAGTAGTGGTTTGTGTTATACCTTAGTTACTAAACTGTTCTTATCTCAACCCATGAGAGTTGCATTCTTTTCGATTCTCCTCTCCATCCGTTCAGGAGTAGGGGGAGGGAAAGAAGGGGGGAGTGAGTGAACAAGATGCCTGATTGGTTTTAAACCACAACAGATGGGGATCACCATTTTGGCACGCATACAGAGTGTATTTTGCCCATGACCATTTCATCTGATTTCAAGAGTTAAGCAGAGTCAGGTTTGGGTCTTGTCTGGGGTTAAACGACGATATAGGAGGACAAAGAGATTTTCCCTGAGGCTGGACAGCCATGAGTGGCAGGGTGTGTGGGACAGTATGGGCAAGTATCTAGGTCAGTGGGCCCCTCCAGTACTTTGGAATTTCACCACCGAACAACTGCAAAATCCAGAAGAATTAGTAAAACACTTAAATGAGGTGTGTGGTCAGTCTGGCCATACCAGAGACGGACAAATCATGGCAACGTGCTGGGGCTTGGCCTATGCTTCCAGGGCCCTTTTCAATACTATGCAGCTCCTTCAAAAGGAAAAAAATGTCGCTGGATCTGAGGGCAAAGCAACAGTCAGCACAGCTACTCCAGCTCCAAGCACAGCAGCTACACCACCCTCAGCAACAAGTACAGCAGCTACCCAAACTTTGGCTGCAATGGACAGCGCAGCTACCCTATCTCCAAGAACAGCAGCTACAACACACATAGCGAGAAGTACAGTTGCTACTCAAACTACAGTGATAATCACTGCAGCTAAACCAGAGGAGCAATTTGTACCAATACTGGTTGCCCCTGTACGCAAGAGAAAAAGCAAAAAATAGGCAAGAAGGGTGAAGCAAGATGAAGAAACAAAGTATTCACCACCTGGGACAGCATCTGACCAGGATTCATTATCACATGACGAAGAAGAAGAGGTGACTTCTTGACCTCGGACCTCAACCGAGCTATGGAATATGCAAAAAGATTCTACCCGTTCAACCAGGGGAGCACATCAACACCTGGTTGCTCCGATGCTGGGACAATGGGTCCGATGGTCACGAAATAGAAGGTACAGGAGCCAAGCAGCTGGGATCACTTGCTAGAGAAGGGGGAATTGACAAAGCAATTACAAGAGAGAAAATGTCCCTCAGTCTTTGGAGGCAGCTCTTGGCAGCTGTGAAAGAAAGGTTTCCATACAAGGACGATGTTATGAGTTGTTCTCCCAAGTGGACTACTGTAGACAAAGGCATCCAGTCTCTGAGGGAATCAGCCGTTGTAGAGATGATCTATCAAATCAAGCCGAATAACGGGGATATAACCATAGATCCAGATGAAGTCAAATGTACACGACGCATGTGGCGAAAACTTACACGGAATGCCCTGTCATCATATGCCCATTCATTGGCAACAGTAGCCTGGAATGACATAGTACCACTAACAGTGGATGAAATGGTTCATAAAATCCGCGAGTTCAAAGACAATCTCACCCCTTCCATCATCTCAGCTGTGGAAAAACAGTCCCAGGATTTCAAAAAATTGAGGGAAGATCTATCTGATTTATCCAGCTCTTCACATGTACCAACATATGTCTCAGCTATTAACAAAAGGCGTCCTATTGTTCGAGAGAGAAGATAAAAGAGGTATACGCCACGGGCCACCCTATGGTTTTACCTGCAGGATCACAGAGAAAACATGATGAAGTGGGATGGAAAATGTACTTCAGCTTTGGAGGAACAGGTGAGTGAACTGAAGAGGGGAGCAAGGGCCAAGACTGATCATCCCATGAGAGCTGTGGCTTCAGTCTCTGGTGAGCAGGTTCCCAGATGGAGCAGAAGAGCTGATTTTACTTCAGCTCCTGTGATAACAAAGAATAATCCCTTTCAACACAACTTAAGTGTCCAATATTGTGATGACTATTAGAAGGGCCCTGCCTCCAGCCAGGGGGAGATAGGGGACAATTGTATTTACTGGGCTGTGCGGATCAGATGGCCTGGCACATCAGTCCCACAGAAGTATAAGGCTCTAGTAGATACCGGTGCACAGTGTACCCTGATGCCATCAAGCTGTCAAGGGGTGGAACCCAATTATATTTCTGGAGTTACAGCAGGATCCCAAGAGTTGACTGTATTGGAGGCTGAAATCAGCCTGACTGGGAGGGAATGGCAAAAGCACCCCATTGTGACTGGTCCAGAGGATCCATGCATCCTCGGCATAGACTACCTCAGGAGAGGGTACTTCAAAGACCCAAATGGGTACCGATGGGCTTTTGGTATTGCTGCTTTGGAGACTGATGAAATTGAGCAGCTGTCCACCTTGCGTGGTCTCTCAGAAGATCCTTCTGTTGTGGGGTTGCTGAAAGTCTAAAAACAAGTGCCTATCGCGACCATAACAGTGCATCGGCGACAATACTGCACCAACCGAGACACACTGATTCCCGTCCAAAACCTGATCTGTAGACTGGAGAGCCACAGTTTGCTTTTACTTGGAGGGGTGTCCAGTTCACTTGGAACCGACTGCCCCAGGGGTGGAAACACAGCCCTACCATTTGCCATGGACTGATCCAGACTGCACTGGAACAGGGGCAAGCTCCAGAACACCTACAATATATTGATGACATTATTGTGTGGCAATACAAAGGAAGAAGTCTTTGAGAAAGGGAGGAGAATAATCCAAATCCTGCTGAAAGCTGGTTTTGCCATAAAACGGAGTAAGGTCAAGGGACCTGCACAGGAGATTCAATTATTGGGAATAAAATGGCAAGATGGATGTCGCCAGATCCTCACAGATGTTATCAACAAGATAACAGCAGTGTCTCCACCAACTAATAAGAAACACAAGCTTTCATGGGTGCAGTGGGGTTCTGGAGAATGCACATCCCAAATTACAGTTCGATTGTAAGCCCTCTCTATCATGTGACCTGGAAGAAGAATGTTTTTAAATGGGGCCCTGAGCAACAACAAGCCTTTGAGCAAATTAAACGAGAGATACTTCATGCAGTAGCCCTTGGACTAGTCTGGACCGGACCAGATGTAAAAAATGTGCTCTACACTGCAGCCAGGGAAAATGGTCCCACCTGTAGCCTCTGGCAGAAAACTCCAGGGGACACTCGAGGTCGACCCCTCGGCTTTTGGAGTCGGGGATACAAGGGATCTGAGGCAAGCTATACCCCAACTGACAAAGAGATACTGGCAGCCTATGAAGGGGTTTAAGCTGCTTCAGAAGTGATTGGCACTGAAGCACAGCTCCTCCTGGCACCCTGGTTGCCCGTGCTCGGCTGGATGTTCAAAGGCACAGTCTCCTCTACACATCATGCAACCGATGCTACATGGAGTAAATGGGCTGCACTAATTACACAACGAGCTCGAATAGGAAATCCCAGTCATCCAGGCATTCTAGAAGTCATCATGGACTGGCCAGAGGGCAAAGATTTTGGAATGTCACCAGAGGAGGAGGTGATGCGTGCTGAAGAGGCCCCACCATATAATAAACTTTCAGAAAGTGAAAAACAGTATGCCTTGTTTACTGATGGGTCCTGCCGTATTGTGGGAAAACATCAGAGATGGAAGGCAGCTGTATGGAGTCCTCGATGACAAGTGTGTGTAAAAACTACACAAAAGAAGAAGGAAACAGATGTCAGAGAAGAGGCAGTCAGGATGAAATACTACCAAGTACAGAACCCCAAGCTCAGGAAATTTTTTCCTCTTATTAAGCAAGTCCGACAACAGCAGATAAAATATTTACGCTATATGTCTTTTCTATTAGAGCCCAAATTACTGCTAGTTACCCTGTGACAAAAACAGTTACAGAAAGACTTTCTTTTGTTTGCATTAAGAATCCCTGTGAGAAAAGTATAATTAATCTAAGAATTAAACCAAGATATTAACAGATTGAATTGTTTGTTGGGTTTTTTTGCCTTCTCAACTCCTTCATAAGTGTTTGTCAGCTACTCACATCTTTTTAATCTCTTCACTTACCAGTATGAGTTCGTTTGTGTGCCTGTAGTGATTTCTCTCGTGGAAACACCCGGTTGCAGATATTGCAGCGTATTCTGCTAGAAGAATGCTCTCCTTCATTTATTAGGTCACGAACTGTTTCTGCTCTTGGTCGGCCACGTCTTCTCCCATCCTGTATTGAAATAATTAAGAAACTGAAGTATGTTGTGGTTTAACCCCAGCTGACAATTAAGTACAGCGCAGTCGCTCATGCTCGCTTGCTCACACCACACACCCCCCCAGTGGGATGGGAAAGAGATTCATAAAACAGCTAAAACCTATGTGTTGAGATAAGAACAGTTTAATAATTGAAATAAAGTATAGTATAATACAATACTAATACTAATGATATTAACAAAAAGGGAAATAGCAACGAGAGAGAGAAAACAAACAAAAAACCCCAACCAACAAACAAGACTGATATTCACCACCCACTGACCAATGCTCAGCCTGTCCTGAGCAGCAATTGGCCCCTCCCAGCTAACTCCCCCCAGTTTCTATACTGGGCATGACATGCTGTGGTATGGAATATCCCTTTGCCTCGTTTGTGTCAGGTGTCCTGTCTCTGCTTCCTCCCGGCTTCCCATGCCCCTCCTCACTAGAAGAGCATGAGAGACTGAAAAGTCCATGTTCAGTGTAAGCACTACTTAGCAACAACTAAAACATCAGTGCTTTATCAACATTATTCTCAGACTAAAGTCAAAACACAGCACTGTACCAGCCACTAGGATGAAAATTAATTCTGTCCCAGCTGAAACCAGGACAAGGTGCCATACTTTTCCATGTAAGCTGCTTAGCAAAATTCATACCCCCTCCACCAAACAAACCAAACCACAACACAACCCACAAGCAAGAACAAACACAATATTCTTACACGAGCTCAAGAAAACTGAAAGAACTGCTAAAATAATACATAGTAAACCACAAGTATTTTTATAAAAAAAAAAAGACACTGTGGGGTATATGTGGCAGGTTGTGGGTGTGGGGTGTGTCAGGATGAGGTAGGGGGTGGGGATGTGTACGTATGGGGGCATCTGGTTTGGGATTTTTTTTCCACTCCAGGGTCTTGAGCTTTCTGGATTTTTTTTATTCCATTGGTTTTGAGTCACCAGGTTTTTGTTTTTTTCATTCCATGGCTTTGGGCTGTTGGGGATTTTTTTTTTTTTTTTTTGTGACTTTTTGGGTTTCCAGGTTGGTCTGGAGTTTTTTATTTTGGTTCCTGCTTTTTGGGTCATATGGAGATTTTTTTTTCATTCTGGGGTCTTCAGTTGTTGGAGGTTTTATTCATTCTGGGGTCTTGGATTGTTTGTGGTGTTTGATTCCAGTGTTTTGGGTTGCTAGGGGTTTTTCTGTGTGTGCGTTTATATTTTTTTTTTTTTTGATTGGTTGGGTTGGGATTTTTAGTATTTTACTGTCTGGGGTCTTGAGGTTATTTGATTCCAGGCTTCTGGTTTCTCTGGATTATTTTATTTAATTTTTTTTTTTTGGGGGGGGGGCAGGCTTTTAAGTTGTACACAGTTGTGTTGTTTTTGAGGTTTTTTTATTTTTTGTTTCAACCTTTGAGTTGTAGGGGGGGGTGTTCTTTTGTTTCCTGGCTTTTGGGGCACCTGGGGGCTTTGTTTTTTCTGGCCTTTTGAGTCACCTGTTTTTTTCTTTTGGTTCCAGGCTTTTGCATCAACTGGTTTGGGTTTGGTTTTGTTTACTAACAGGCTTTTGGAGTGTCTGGGTTTTTTTGTTTGTTTTTTTTTTTTTTCATTCCAGGCTTTTGGGGCATCTGGTTTTTGTTTTGGGTTTTTTTTTTTGGGGGGGGGGTGGGTGTTGTTGGTTGGGTTTTTTCCCCCCTCTTTTTTTTTATTCATTGTCATTGGTTACCCTTGGCTGGGCACCAGGTGCCCTCCAAGCAACTGACTCCCCCTCTTCAGCAAGAAGCAAGATAGGGGGAAAAAATAAGTTCTTTTGAGTTGAGATAAAGACAGAGAGACTACTTTCCCCCTTCCCAGTAAAGCAGGTGCCTGGAAAACACAGGGTTAAGATACAACTTAACTTAGGTCTAAGATAGAGAACAATGTTTGTGTTGTAAGTCTGTGATGTGATAACAGAATTTAGTAGTCTTAGTAACAAGAGTGAATTATTTCTTTCCATCCTTCTAATGAGTGAATTATTTCTTACCATCCTTCTAATTATCAGTTAGTTTGGAGACAGTGACTCCCGAACATCCGCTAACTTCGGACACTCCTTGTCTGCCCATCCTGTTCTGCTTGCAATAAATTTTGTATGAAGGTCACACTGTCCTAAATCTTTGCCAGCTATCAGAAACTTACAGATATGTCTGGTTTCAGCTGGTTTTGTGATTACTGGGGCATCCAACTGTGCCAAAGGTGAAAAGTACACTGTGAGGAAGACAGCTTACTTAATCTTGAAGACTCCTGCCCACACGAGGAAGACTGCTTACTTCATCTTGAAGACCCCTGCCCACGACCATCAGAGGGCAGTGCGCAAGCACCAAAAGGGAGGAGACTTATGATAATGACTACCTAAACTAATTGTAATATCCTCCCAATGCTCTCTCGGGAACCTAATGAATATGCATGTTTGTGTGTAATAAATATCTGCTTGCTTAACCCCTCGGTGTGCAAGTTAGAAGGAGCGATCCCCCTTGCACCCGGCACCATAATAAATGTACCTGCTTTATAACTCTCTATGAGTTGTAGAGTCTGATTATGTGCTTCAGGGTCCTTCCCAAGGGATATAATCAGTCCTTCACAAACTGCTCCAGTCAACAGCTGTCCCCACAGCCAGTTCAACCTGCGGGAAACTGGCACTAGCAGCAGCAGCAGTTGCCATGTGCTAAGAGTTCGAGGCTTCTGAGGTCCATGGGGGTGTCTGACGGGATTTCAGGGCCCCTGACACCCTTGGGCTGTGTGCATGAGGAACCAGCCAGCTGGTAATAAGTCTCACAACAGGGGCAGGCAAAAACTGGGTGGTGCCAGCAGTCCCCACAACCAGTTCAAGCCATGAGAACTGACCCCTAGGGAACACTAATGACCTGGGAAGCAAACAGGAAGTAGTATGTTAGGAGATGCATGGCCAGTTCTTGAGGGAAGGTCTGCACACTGACAGTTATCAGACTGCTCCCTGCTCTGCTTGTCTTTATGCTTAGGCTGCAGCCCTGATGGTCACCCCTGCAAGCTGGTGGTTATTCATGCCTACCCATCAGCTTGAGGTCTATAGGGAATTAGAAGGGCTTATTAGTCAGTGCTCTGATATTGCCAGAAGCATAGTGGTATATACCAGGCAAAGGCTGCACTTTTCAGCAGACAGGAATCAACTAGGTAGCCAGGATAGCCTGGGAGTGGAGGAAGCTGCTGTCCAGGTGGAGGGCTGCAAATACCGCACTCGCATGTCCTGGGTGGAGGAGGTATCCTGTGCAAGGTATGCTGATTTATGATGTCATAGGAATCACAGAATCTTGATGAGAAAACTCAGTATTGGGTTTGCATGACAGGTTTTGGTAGTGAGGGGGCTACAGGTTTCCTCTGGGAAACTGATAGAAGCTTCCCAATGTCCGATAGAGCTAATACCAAGACGGACCCACCACTGGCCAAAGATGAGCCAATCAGCGACAGTGGTGGAAATGTCCTCTCTACACATCACACAACCAGCATCACATGGAGTGAGTAGTGAAATCATGCAATGAGCTCAGCTGGGGAAACCCAACTGCCCAGGAATCTTGGAAGAGATCATGGACTGGCCAAAATGCAGAAATTTTGGAGCACTGCTTGAAGAGGTGGCACATGCACCATGAATTATCAGATGAAAGGTGTTATGCTCTGTTTACTGCCAGTTCCTATTGTGTTTTAGGAAATCACTGAAAGTGGAATGATGCTGTGTGGAATCCCACATGACAAGTCACTGAAGCCACTAAAGAAGAAGGTGAGTCAAGTTAGTTTGCAGAAGTGAAAGCCATCCAGGTTGCCCTAGAGATTGATGAATGACAAAAGTGGCCAGGACTCACTCACTCTATGCTGATTCATGGATGGTGGCAAGTGCCCTATAGAGGTGGCTACATTGGGGAAGAAGACCAATTGGCAGCAGAGGGGTAAACCCATCTAGGCATTGTGGCAAGACATCGCTGCTTGGGTAGAAAACATCACTCTAAAGGTATGCCACGTAGATGCTTACATGCCCAAGTCATGCCACTGAAGAACATCGAAACAATGAACAGGTAGACATGGCTTCGAAAACTGAAGTGGCTCAGGTGGACCTGGACTGGAAGCATAAGGGTGAGCTATATGTAGCTCCATGGCCCATAAAACATCAGAACATCTAGGGAGAGATGCAACACACAGATGGGCTTGTGATCATAGAGTGGACCTGACCATGGAGGCTACTGCACAACTCACCCATCAATGTGGAAACATGTGCTACAATCAAGCAAGCTACAGAATTAAAATCTCCCTGGAACAGAGGGTGGTCTCTGGGTTTTCAATATGCCAAGGCGTGGTAAATTGACTATATTGGACTATTGCCACAAACATGCCAAGGCAAGTGCTACATACTCACCATGGTGGAAGCAAGTACTGGCTGGCTAGAAACATACCCTGTAAACTATGCCACTGCTCGAAACACCATCCTGAGCCTTGAAAAGCAAATTTTGTGGTGACATGGTACCCCAGAAAGAATTGACTCAGCCAATGTGACTCATTTCCAAAATAACCTCATAAACTCCTGGGCAAAGAAACATGGCATTGAGTGGGTGTATCACATCCCCTATCACCCACAAGCATCTTGAAAGATTGAGAGATATAATGGAGTGTTAAAGACTATGTTGAGCATTGGGCAATGGGGCATGGAAGCACTGGGATATAAATATAGCAGAAGTCACTTGGCTGGTTAACACCACAGGATCTGCTAACAGCCCTGGTTCTGCCCAAACAAAACCCCTACATACTGTGGGAGGAAATAAGGTCCCCATAGTGCATGCATGTAAGGAAGTCACAGCATCAAGGCTGTCTCTCCAACATCCCCACCACCACCACCCCCAAAGGTCAGTAGACTGGAGGTGGGCAAGATCTTGGGAGGGGACATAGCCAGGACAGCTTACCCAAACTGACCAAAGGGATATTCCATTCTATAAGATATCTGCTCAGAAATAAAAGCTGGGGGGGGGGGGGGCATTTGTTATTACATTTGTCTTCTGGAGCAACTGCTGCTTGTACTGAAGCCCTGCTTCCTGGGAAGTGGCTGGACGCTGCCTGCTGATGGGAAGTACAGAATAAATCTTTTGTTTTCCTTTGCTTCTGTGCACAGCCTTTGCTTTTGCTTTATTAAACTGCCTTTATCTTGACCCATGAGTTCTTTTCTATCTTATTTTCTCCCTGTGTCCTGCTGAGGAGGGGGAGTGATAAAGTGGTTTGGTGGGCACCTGATGCCCAACCAAGGTCAACCCATCACAAACTCACACAACTGTAAGACCACAATGGACGGCTTAAGTTCGGGGGGGGATTGTTTTTGTTTTTTTTTTTTTTTTGGTGCTGGTGTGAGGAGTCCTCCCCCTGAGAAGGAAGAAGTGGAAGAAACAATATGAGATGAACTGACCACAACCCCTATTTCCAATCCCCCTGCACTGCTTGGGGGGAGGAGGTAGATAAAATAGGGAGTGAAGTTGAGCCTGCGAAGAAGGGAAGAGTGGGGGGGGAGAAGGTGTTCTATGATTTGGTCTTACTTCTCATTACCCTACTCTGATTTGTTTGGCAATAAATAAATTAATTAATTTTCCTCAAGTTGAGTCTGCTTTGCCCATGACAGTAATTGGTGAATGATCTCTCCCTGTCCTTATCTCGAGCCATGAGCCTTTTGTTCTATTTTCTCTCCCTTGTCCAGCTGAGGAGGGGGAGTAATAGGCTTTGGTGGCCACCTGGCATACAGGTAAGTTCAACCCACCACACCCCATCACAGAAAAGGGAAGCAGTTACAAGTTCTAAATGTGGAACCTGGACTAGAACTGCTGCTGGACAGTGATATCCATGAATCTCCAGTGCCCAGGAATGCCTCCACCATCATTTGCTTTCTCCGAGGATTGACTTGTGTTCTTTTATATGATTTCCAAGTCTAGTTTATGATTACTATTTTGATACAGGAAATAGTGTGTCAAGATTTGACCTGACCTGCAAAGGGTCCAGGTGACTAGAAATTCTAAGTTAAGTTACTATAATAATCATAATATACTGATAAGAAAATAAAGCTTTAATTTTCTACAATTTAGTGCCATCATCATTCTGCCAAGGTTCCCTAAAAGAATCTGTCTGTCCCCTTAGTGTTGGGTGACACTGTTTGCAAGCTTTTTTGGTTCAGTGGTTCTGGGGGATTTATTTGGCATATTTTTGTTTCAGCATGTTTTGTGGTGTGTTTTTTTTTTTTTTTGGGGGGGGGAGTGTTCTTGTTGAGGGGGATAGATTTGGTTAGGTTTTGTTTTGGGACATTTTTCATTTGGCATATTAGGTTTTTTGTGGTTCAGTGGTTTGAGGAACTAGGTTTGGTATATTTTAAGCAAAATTTTATTCTAGCACTTTATGGGGGTTTATTTAGTTGGTGATTGGTGGATTTTAGCTTTTGTGTGATTTGGGTTTTTTCAGTGGAAGGGGGGGCCTGGGTTTGGGATACTTATGATTTGCATGGCTTCAGGGGTTTTTGTGTCAGTCACTGGGGGGCAGGGTTTTTGGGGTAATATTGGGTTTTGGGGTTTTGAATGGTTGGTGTTTAGGTTTTTTTATTATTTTGACAGCTAGGGGTTTTTTGCATGTTTTAGTGGCTTGTTTCAGTATGGTGGTTCAGGAGGCTGTTTGGTGCACTTTTTAATTTTTTTTTTTCCCATTTTTGTTTTGGCACAGTTAGGGGATTTTTGTGTGTGTGTGTATGTGTGCTTGTTAATGGGGGGTGCTGGGTTTGGCTTTTATTTATTTTGGCCTGGTTTGGGGTAGTGGTTTGGTTGTTGTGGGGGCTGGGTTTGGCATGTCTTTGCTTTAACATGGTTTTCTTGGGTTTAGATTTTTCTAGGGGTTTTGTGACTGAGGGCTCGGTTTGAATGTTTGAATTTCATCATGTTTTGAGAGACTTGGTTCGGTGGCTGAAGGTGATAGGTTTGGTGCATTTTTTGTGTTAATGCATTTTAGTTTGTTTTTTTTTTTTTCCAAATTGCTGGTTGGGAGCACTGGGTTAGGCGCAGTTTTCTTTTGGCATGTTTGGGGGATTAATATTGTGTTTGGAGAATTTGCAGTATTGGGGTTTAGTTGGGTTTGTGGGCTTGTTTTTTTTTTTTTTTGTTTGTTAGTTGGAGGGCTAGATTGGGCACATTTTTTGTTTTGATGTAGTTTTGAGAGGCCACGTTTTGCCAAGTTTTCAGTATTTTTTGTGTGCTGTGGGGTATTTTTTTGGTTCAGTGATTGGATTAGCATAGGCTGTTTCTCTTTTGGCATGTTTTGGGTGTTTTTTCATTCTGGGTTTGTCAGGACTGGATTTTGCACATTCGTGTTTTGGTGCATTTGGGGGGGGCAGGGTTTATTGGTTTTGGTATCCTTTTATTTAGGCATGTTTGGGGAGGTTTTTTGTTCAGTGGTTGGGGAGGGGTGGGTTCAACATGTCTTGGGGATCTTTTTGTTTGGTGGTTCAGTGGGCTTTGTTGGGCATGGTTTTGTCTTGACATGGTTTGGTCCAGTGGTCTGAGGTGCTGGACTTGGTGGATTTTGTTTGGGTGCAACATGTTTGGGGGGGCTTGCCTTCCTCTGGTTCAGAGAGCAGGGTTTGATGCACTTTTATGTGTGATGCGTTTTAGGGTGGGAGGTTGCCTTTTCAAGATCTGGGGGACTATATCTGGAGCATCTTTTCCTGTGGCTTGTTTTTGGGAGTGGTTGCCTTCTTGGGGTTTGAGGAGCTGGGGTGCTTTTTCCTGCGACACGTTTTGGAGCAGAAAGTTGCCTTTTTTGTCATTCAGGAGACTGGATTTGGTGCACTTTCTCACACAGAACATTTTTGGGGAGAGGTTTGCCTTCTTAAGGTTCAGGTGGCTGGTCTTGGGCACACTTACATGTGGTGCATTTTTGGGCTTGAGGTTGCTTTCTTGGGGTTCCAGACACTGGATTTGGCATGCTTTTTTTTGTGGTGTGCTTTGCAGGGTGAGTGCCTTCTTGTTGTTTTGAGAGGCTGAAGTTGCCATGTCTTATGATATGTTTTAGGGAGAGGCACAACCTTTTCTGTTTTCAGGAGGCTGGGCACATCTTTTTGTGTGGCACATTTTAGGGGGGAGGGTATGTTTTTGGGGTGGGGGCTGGGTTTGGCACTTTCTTTTGGGTATTGAGTTTTGGGGGGAGATGGAGTGGGCCTTTTTTTCATGGTGCTTTTTGAGGAAGCTGTTGCTTTAGAGTTTGAGAGGCTGGGTTTGGAGCACCTTTTTGTGATGTGTTTTTGGGAGAATTTGATGTTCTGGATTTGGAGGGCTTCATTTGGTATGGTTATTTTTATCATGGCACATTGTGATGGGAATACCTCCTTCGGGTTTGGGTTGGTGCGCTATTTTGTGTTGCAGTTTACAGGGCAGAATACCAACATGGGGGGGGGGGGGGAAAAGGAAGAGGTGGGAATGGCACACTTTTTCATGTGGCACAGTTTGGGGAGTGTTTGCCTTCCTGGGGTTGAAGGGGCTGGGGTGCACATTCTTTTTCCATGTGGTGTGTTGTGGAGAGTATAGTTGCTTCCTCAAGTTTCAATGTTTAGCATGCTTTTTGTGTGGTGTGTTTTGAGGGGGTTGCCTTCTGCCAGTTTGGGGTGGCTAGGTTTGAACATTTTTCCTTCAGCTCATTTTGGGGATTTTCTGGTTCTGTGGTTGAGGGAAGCTTTTGGGCTTAGAGAGGTGGGTTTATTGGGTTGGGGGATATTAAGTTTCAGGGGGGAGGGGGAAATTATCAGTTTATGCTTTTTACAGGGGGATGAGATGTTTTGTTGATGCTTTGGCAGAGTTGAAGTGTTTGGGAATTGTAATTTGTGGGGGTTTAGGATTTAAGTATGATTTACCAGGTCTGTGAGTTCTGAAGTTCTTGGGAGGCAGGGGTTGGGTTTGGGGGTTTATGGGGAGTTTATTGGATTTAGGAGAGTGTGTTTTTGAGGGGGCTGGGTTTCAAGCTTTGGGTTTGTTTGGTTTGGGATTTTTTTTTTTTGGTTGGTTGGTTGGAGGGGGGGAAGAAAGGGTGCGCCCAGAGTTTTGGGTGTTAGAGCTACTGGGGCTTGGGGCATTGTGCATGGTTGGGGCTTTTGGAAGGAGTGTGAGCATTTAGAGGGTGAAGGTTTCAGGATTTCTTGTATTTAGGGGTTTAGGGCTTTTTGGAGTGGATTTTCAGGGGTCTAGTTTAGGTTACTTTGGGGAGTTTGGGGTGACAGGTTTTTTTTTGTTTGGTTAGTTATTGGAATTTCTGGGGAGCTCTATGGATTGGGGGTTTTCAGGAAGACAAACAAGGAGAATAGGAAGGAATGCTCAGCGTGTTGCCTTTAACTTTACGTCTCTGCCCTTCCGTAGTGAGGCACTTTACCACCCCACTGACTACTGGATGCATGCATAGGGGCAGCAGACTGTACCCCATCGCACCCAGCTGCTTGGCCTGTCCCGACCACACTCACCTTGAGGCTGCTACTGCTGCTACTCGCCTCCTCTTCTTCCCCGCTGCAAGCTCTAGCTGGCCCCCCACGGGGCTGCTGGACGAATGAAGGGATGGCAGAGCCACACGGGCTAAAGGTCACATTGTGGGCATTCTCTCCCCAGCGCCAGGGGTAAACCATGAAGTCGCTGAAGCCAGGTCTGATGAGGACGGGCGGGGGGAGTGCTAGCTCCCCATCTCTGCCCCTGGAGAACGGCTTGACAGAGGTGGTTTTGATAACAGAAACCAGTACGCCATTCGGGGACTCCTGGTAAAAAGTCACCGGGAGACCCGGCGGTGGCTTCTCCACCATCGCCACCTCCTTGCAGACACCTGCACAAAAAAGAGGGAGTGGGAAAGCTCCTAATGGCTCAGCTGCTCTTTCCCAAAGCGGGGAAATTGTAGAAATCCTGCAACCACCACCACCACCATTTGTTAAACACCATCTCCCCCCGCCCCACCACTCTGCTTTACCTGTTTTTTTGCCGGAGACGGCAGCTCCTCTTGGGGCCTCACCCCTCTTTTCTCAGCTACCACCGGCGCAAAATCCGTGACAGCTACAATCTACCCACACGTTCTGAACTGGCGCCGATCCCCGCTTGCAATTCCAGCCCTGATGACTCCTGAAAGAGTTAGCGTTGCAAAACCAAGGCCGAAACGGAGAATTTCCCGCGTTACATTTCGCGCCTGGGCGTAACCAATCACCGAACCAGGTACTGACGTCACGGAGCAACAGTTACCGCTTACCAACCACTTTGCCGTGTGGGCGGGGACAGAACGGAACTCGGATTCACTTCTGCTATTTTATTGGCTAGGCGCCAAGTCGACTGGTAGAATTCGAAACTGATTGGGCTGGTGGAGTGCTAGGGGTGTTTTGTGTCACTATAACTAATTTTCTATAAGGATGCGCAACTTGGCTGCTGATTGGCCCGCCAGGGCGGGCGGGCAGGCCTGCTTCTAGCTTGGAGCGCGTTTTTGTTTCGCTGTTAGAGCGCTTGGTGGATGAGCTCCAGCGGGGAGACTAGGAACAGGCGCTGTAAAGGCTGCAGCAGAGCGTTTATTACAGCGGCCGTTGTGGAACGTGGCAGAAGTAAGCGTGTTGGCCGCGTTCTGTGAAGAAACAAAGCAGGGAGCTCAGAGCCGCTGCCTCTCTGCAGGGTCCAGAGGGTCCAGAGTGTACGAAGAAATGCCTGTTTCGGTACTAAACCCTAACACTGATAAACTATCCTGAGACTGCAGCTCTGCTCCTCCACGCACACGTTTAAAATAACCATTGCTTGATCATACACTAACAGGTAGTCCAATGAGTGTAACGCTGTTTTGTGATGATTGGTATGAAAAGCAAGGCAGTAACTGAAATATAATTTGTGGAATGAACACTGCTTGAGACTATGAGCTTTTATCTCGGTTACTGATGTGACTGGAAGACCCAACTTATAGTCGGCTGTTACCGGCTGAGAACACCCCATAATGGCAATAAAACAGTAGGAGATTTGCCCTTCAAAAAAACCTCCAAACCCAGTCATGTAACATAGCCATCTACGCCACCTGCATAGAACAAGCACGTACTGTTTACATAAACAATAGTAAATGATTATTCTACCCTGTAACACAAGTGATTTTAAAGTTATTAATTTTATTATTTAGTAATTACTGTTAAAAAAACCCATCCAAACAAAAACCAGGAAAGTGGAATTCATATCAGCTTTTAATTGATCCAGTGAGTGAAAGACCTACGTATGAACAACAAAAAAAATTATGTTAAAAAAGAATAATTTGAAAATAGTGGCATACATTGATTCGGCTTTATCTGGTAAAAGCCTGAAAAATAGGTTGTATAATTTTTAAATCTCAAAGTAACCATTTAGTAAATCCTTAAGAAATATTTGAAATTAGGAAGGCTTTGGCTTTATCAGACTGAGCAGTACTCAATTTATTTTATGTTATTGTCATGGTTTAAGGCCAACTGGTAACCCAGAACCACAAAGCTGCTTGCTCACACACACCCCACCCCCCCCCACCCCCCCCCCCTCCCAGAGGGATGGGGAAGAGAAAATAATCTAAATCGCATGGGTTGAGATAAGAACAGTCCAGTAACTAAGGTATAACACAAAACCACTACTGCTACCACCAATGATAATAAGGATAAGGGAAATAACAAGGAGAAAGAACATAAAAATAAAAGGGAAAATAAAACATCATAAACACAAATGACAGACAATACAAATCCTCACCAACCAATACCCAGACCAAGCAGTGATCTGAGGGTTGTGGGTAACTCCCCCTACTTTATATACTGGCCATGACATGCTGTGGTATGAAATACCCCTTTGGTTAGTTTGGGTCAGGTGTCCTATCTCCTTCCTCCGTGCTTCTTGCGCCCCTCCTCCCTTGGCAGAGCATGAGACTCAGAAAGACCTTGATGGGAGTAAACATTACTTATCAACAAATAAAAACATCTGTGTGTTATCAGTGTTGTTCTTAGGCTAAAGGGAGGGATCACTGCTAAGCTTCTCTGGTTTCTTCAAAGTTCATTCTTTGTTGGGGTGATTATTGGAGGGAAGTCAGGATCAGTTGACAGTGACCTGAGGACAGTTCTGCTTCTGTCTCTGCTGATGATCATGAAGGTACATATCTTAATTTCGAAGCCCAGACTGGCAAAGATGGGCACCTAGCTAATGGGCTATAAAAGTGTCATAGAGCAGGCAACAGCATATAATTGAGTTTGTTGTGTGTTTTCCCTGCCACAGAAAAAAATATGGACTCAGAGATCAATATGATCACACAAAAGCCATTTATCGCAAAGCCTTAACTCCTTATATACAATCTCTTACATGCACTTACAGTGATTTGGCATATTAGGATTGGATACATGTCTTGCAGACCCTTAGTGACTAACATATAATTGGTTAAGCACAGATGTGAGAACTTGACCTTGAAAGCTTGCCAACAGTCCACAGTTCTCATAACTCGGTGAATTCCACCATCTTCTTATCTTGCTGGCTTAAGCTTCCTCGGGCCTCTCATGGCCTTGCTGTATCTTTCGGGATTATTCAGAGTTCATGTACCAATTATCCATTCTCCTGTGAGAACACTGCCTCCACATTTTCCCCAAAATCAAATCCCCTCGAGGTACACACTGGGCTTCCCCATCTTCCCGCATTACACACCAAGTATATCCGGGTCCCTGAGCAAAAGCAATTCCACGAGTGGGTTTACCTTTACTTGAAGCAGGAATAACCCAGACTGTCTTCCCCAGCAAATTCTTTATGTGCACCACAGGAACTTTATCCCCTTCTAGAGTATGTAAAAGTTCCGATTGGACTGGCCCAGCCCTGTTGGCAGATCCTCTTGTGTTGACCAACCAAGTGGCTTTTGGTAAGTGTATATCCCAGTGTTAGAAAGTCCCACCACCCCTTGCTCTCAGTGTACGTTTTAACAGTCCATTGTACCTTTTGATTTTCCCAGAGGCTGGTGCGTGTTAGGGGATGGGATATACCCACTCAATGCCATGCTCTTTGGCCCAAGCGTCTATAAGTTTGTTCCAGAAATGAGTCCTATTGTCTGACTCAATTCTCTCTGGGTTGCCGTGTCACCACAAGGTTTCTCAAGGCCCAGGATAGTGTTCTGGGCAGTGGTGTGGGGCACAGCATATGTTTCCATCCATCCGGTTGTTGCTTCCACCATGGTAAGCACATGGCACTTGCCTTGGCAGGTTGGTAGGAGTATGATATGGTTCTATGGTTTAGAATAGTAGGTATGAATATGAAAGCAGGAGGAGCTAGAAACCTGTGTTAAGTCAGGAGATTATGATCTGGTGGCAATTACAGAGACGTGGTGGGACAGCTCACATGACTGGAATATAGTCATGGAGGGCTATGTCCTTTTCAGGAAAGACAGGCCAGCCAGGCGGGGTGGTGGGGTTGCTCTTTATGTGCGAGAGCAGCTACAATGCGTTGAGTTCTGTCCGGGGACAGATGATGAGCGAGTCGAGAGTCTGTGGGTGAGAATTAAGGGGCAGGCTGGCAGGGGCGATACTGTTGTGGGGGTCTGTTACAGGCCACCAGATCAGGGTGAGGAAGTTGACGAGGCCTTCTACAGGCAGCTGAGAGCGGCCTCACAGTCACAGGCCGTGGTCGTCGTGGGGGATTTTAACTTCCCTGATGTTTGCTGGAAGGACTACTCGGCAACCCAGCCGCAGTCCAGGAGGTTCCTCCAGTGTATGGATGATAACTTCCTCATGCAAATGGTGGATGAGCCAACCAGGAGAGGTGCGCTGCTGGATCTCATCCTCACTAACAAGGAGTGTCTGGTTGAAGGAGTGAAGGTTGAGGGCTGCCTTGGTTGCAGCGACCACGAGACGGTAGAATTCAGGATCTTGTGTGGTAGGGTCAGTAGAATAGCAAGTAGAATCGCAACCCTGGACTTTAGCAGGGCAAACTTTGGCCTGTTCAAGCAATTGCTAGGGGAAATCCCATGGGCTAGGCTGCTTGAAGGGAAAGGGGCCCAAGAGAGTTGGTTGACGTTCAAGGACTGCTTTTTCCGAGCTCAAGATCGGAGCATCCCGACACGTAGGAAGTCAAGGAAGAGGGTCAGGAGACCTGCGTGGGTAAATAGGGAATTGCTGGGTATGCTCAAGTGGAAGAGGAGAGTTTACAGGTCATGGAAGGAAGGGCTGGCCACTTGGGAAGAATATAAGGCTGCTGCTAGAGGATGTAGGAAAGCTGCTAGGATGACTAAGGCCTCCTTGGAATTAAAGCTGGCGAGAGGGGTCAAGGACAGCAGAAAGAGCTTTTTCAAATACATGGCAGGTAAAACTAACACCAGAGGCAATGTAGGCCCGCTGATGAACGGGACGGGTGCCCTGGTGACAGAAGATACAGAGATGGCAGAGTTACTGAATGCCTTCTTTGTCTCTGTCTACTCTGCCGGAGGCAGTCCTGAAGAGCCCTGTACCGCTGAGACCTCGGATGAAGATAGGTCAACGGAGCGGTTTGCCTTAGTCGATGAGGAATGGGTTAAAGACCAGTTGAGCAATCTGGATATCCATAAATCCATGGGTCCAGATGGGATGCACCCGCGGGTGCTGAGGGAACTGGCGGAGGTCATTGCTAGACCGCTCTCCATCATCTTTACCAAGTCTTGGGAAACGGGAGAGGTGCCTGAGGACTGGAGGAAAGCAAATGTCACTCCTGTCTTCAAAAAGGGCAAGAAGGAGGACCCGGGTAACTATAGACCGGTTAGCCTCACCTCCATTCCTGGGAAAGTGATGGAACACCTTATCCTTGGTGCCATCTTAAGGCATATCAAGGATAAGAGGGTTATGAGGGGCAGTCAACATGGCTTCACCAAGGGGAAGTCGTGCTTGACCAATTTCGTAGCCTTTTATGAGGAAATAACACGGTGGATGGATGATGGCAGAGCGGTGGATGTGGTCTACCTTGACTTCAGCAAAGCGTTTGACACGGTCTCCCACAGCATCCTTGCAGCCAAATTGTAGTTGTTGGAGACTTTGCTGTTATCTTGTTGATCACATCTGTGTGGGGATCTGGTCCATCTTGCCATTTTATTCCCAAAAAATTAATCTCCTGTGCAGGTCCCTTGACCTTACTCCATTTTATGGCAAAACCGGCTTTCAGCAGGATTTGGGTTATTTTCCTCCCTTTCTCAAAGACTTATTCCTCTGTATCACGCCACACGATTATGTCATCAATGTATTGATGGTGTTCTGCAGTTTGCCCTTGTTTCAGTGCAGTCTGGATCGGTCCATGGTAGAGTGGTGGATGTGGTCTACCTTGACTTCAGCAAAGCTTTTGACACGGTCTCCCACAGCATCCTTGCGGCTAAATTGAGGAAGTGTGGTCTGGATGATCGGGTAGTGAGGTGGACTGTGAACTGGCTGAAGGAGAGAAGCCAGAGAGTTGTAGTCTATGGGGCAGAGTCTAGTTGGAGGCCTGTAACTAGTGGAGTGCCTCAAGGGTCGGTTCTGGGACCAGTATTATTTAATATATTCATCAACGATTTAGATGAGGGAATTGAGTGTACTATCAGCAAGTTTGCTGATGACACTAAGCTGGGAGGAGTGGCCGACACGCCAGAAGGCTGTGCTGCCATCCAGCGAGACCTGGACAGGCTGGAGAGTTGGGCGGGGAATAACTTGATGAAATATAACAAGGGAAAGTGTAGAGTCCTGCATCTGGGCAGGAACAACCCCAGGTTCCAGTATAGATTGGGGAACGACCTGTTAGAGAGCAGTGTAGGGGAGAGGGACCTGGGGGTCCTGGTGGACGACAGGGTGACCATGAGCCGACACTGTGCCCTTGTGGCCAAGAAGGCCAATGGCATCCTGGGGTGTATTAGAAGGGGGGTGGTTAGTAGGTCGAGAGAGGTCCTCCTTCCCCTCTACTCAGCCCTGGTGAGACCTCATCTGGAATATTGTGTCCAGTTCTGGGCCCCTCAGTTTAAGAAGGACAGGGACCTGCTGGAGAGAGTCCAGCGCAGGGCAACTAAGATGATTAAGGGAGTGGAGCATCTCCCTTATGAGGAAAGACTGAGGGAGCTGGGTCTCTATAGTTTGGAGAAGAGGAGATTGAGGGGTGACCTTATTAGTGTATATAAATATATAAAGGGGGAGTGTCACGAGGATGGAGCCAGGCTCTTCTCAGTGGCAAACAATGAAAGGACAAGGGGTAATGGGTACAAATTGGAGCACAAGAGGTTCCACTTAAACCTGAGAAGAAACTTCTTCTCAGTGAGGGTGACAGAACACTGGAACAGGCTGCCCAGGGAGGTTGTGGAATCTCCTTCTTTGGAGACATTCAAAACCCGCCTGGACACGTTCCTGTGTAACCTTATCTAGGTGTTCCTGCTCCGGCAGGGGGATTGGACTAGATGATCTTTTGAGGTCCCTTCCAATCTCTAACATACTGTGATACTGTGAATATGATTCTATGGTTTAGAGCAAGGTGTCCCTGCCCATGGCAGGGGGGTTGGAACTTGATGATCTTAAGGTCCTTTCCAACCCTAACTATTCTATGATTCTATGATTCTATGATATAGTCAATCTGCCAAGCTTCCCCATATTTGTACTTGAGCCATCATCCTCCATACCTGAAAGACTTTAACCACTTGGCTTGGTTAATTCCAGCAACAGTGTACATTATTAAGTCTACTTCTCGATTACAATCCCATCTGTATGTTGCATCTCTCCCCTGATGGCCTGAAGTATCATGGACCCACCGGCCTAAAAATAATTCACCCTGATGTTGCCAATCTAAGTCCATCTGAGCCACTTCAGTCTTAGCAGCTTGATCCACTTGTTGGTTGTTCTGGTGTTCCTCAGTGGCCCAAGTATTGGGTACATGAGCATCTGCATGGCATACCTTCACCACCAGGTTTTGCACCCGGGCAATGATATCTTGCCACCGTGCAGCAGCCCACATGGGTTTACCTCTGCGTTGCCAGTTGCTCTTCTTCCATTGCTGCAACCACTCCCACAGGACATTTGCCACCACCCATGAGTCAGTATAGAGATAAAGTACTGGCCACTTTTTACATTCAGCAATGTCCAAGGCCAGCTGGATGGCTTTTACCTCAGCAAATTGACTTGATTTACCCTCTCCTTCATCAGTTTCTGCAACTTGTCATCGAGGACTCCATACAGCTGTCTTCCACTTTGAACATCCATCCCAACACGGGCAATCAGGGTGCAAGAGGAGCTGTGCTTCAGTGCCAGTCACTTCTGAAGTGGCTCAAACCCATTCATAGGCTGCCAATATCTCTTTTTCAGTTGGGGTATAGCCAGCCTATGATCCTCTGTATCCCCAACTTCAAAAGCCGAGGGGTTGACTTCAAGACTCTCCTGGAGCTTTTTGCCATTCTCCCTCGCTGCAGTGTAAAGCACATTTCTCACATCTATCCCTGTCCGAGCTGGTCCAAGGGCTGCTGCATGAACTGTCAGATAATTTCTTCAAAGGATTATTTTTGCTCAGGGCCCTATTTGAAATCATTCTTCTTCAGGGTCACCCGATAGAAGGTGCTTACAATCAAAATGTAACTTGGGATGTCCATCCTCCAAAACCCCCCAACACCTAAGAAAGCTTGTGTTTATTTCTCATTAGTTGGTGGAGACATTGCTGTTATCTTGTTGATCACATCTTTGGGGATCTGGTGACATCCATCTTATCATTTTATTCCCAAAAATTGTATCTCCTTTGCAGGTTCCTTGACCTTACTCCGTTTTATGGCAAAACCGGCTTTCAGCAGGATTTGGATTATTTTCTTCCCTTTCTCAAAAACTCTTCCACTGTATTGCCCCACACGATAATGTCATCAATGTCTTGCAGGTGCTCTGGAGCTTGCCCCTGTTCCAGTGCAGTCTGGATCAGTACATGGCAAATGGTGTTTCCACCTCTGGGGCAGTCAGTTCCAAGTGCCCTGGATGCCCTTCCAAGTAAAAGCAAACTGTGGCCTGCACTCTGCTGCCAAAGTAATTGAGAAAAATTCATTGGCGATATCAATTGTGGCATCCCACTTGGCTGCCTTTGACTCTAGTTCATATTGAAGTTCTAGCATGTCCGGTATGGCAGCACTCAGTGGTGGTGTGACTTCATTCAGGCCAAGATAATCTACTGTTAGTCTCGACTCTCCATTAGACTTTTGCACTGGCAATATGGGGCTATTAATGGGTGAGTGGTTCCTGCTCACCAGCCCGACCTGAGCAGTGGTCTCCCTTTTCCATGTGACTCCCCCCAGGTTATATACTGGGCATGATGTCCTGTTGTATGGAATACCCCTTCAGCTAATTTGTCTCAGGTGTCCTGTCTCTGCTTCCTCCCGGCTTCTTGTGCCCCTCCTCACTGGCAGAGCATGAGACACTGCAAAGTACTTGATCGGGGTAAGCATTACATAGCAACAACTGAAATGTTGTTTTTTTGTCAGCACTGTTCTCGACCTGAAGCTGAAAACACAGCACTGCACCAGGTACTAGGAAGGAAGAAAAAAAAAAAACAACAGAAAAAGACCTCAAACACCACAACCTAAAAAACCCCACCTGTTAGAGCTGAACCCAGGACAGGAGAAAACTTTATTTTGTTATAGAAACTGAACTTTTTAAAGTAATAAAAAATATTATATCCTTTAACTAACACATTAAAGGGGTTTTATGTATTTATGAACAAAATATTATTCACAATTTGATAGAATTAAAAATATTACAAGTATACTGGTGTTGTGGTTTAACCCCAACCAGACACCTTTCACTCACTCACTCCCCCCCTTTCTTGCCCTCCCCCTACTCCTGGAGGGATGGAGAGGAGAATCAGAAAGAATGCAACTCCCACGGGTTGAGATAAGAACAGTTTAGTAACTAAGGTATAACATAAATCACTGCTGCTACCACCACTAATAGTAATGATAAAGGAAATAACAAGGGAAGAGAATAGAATACCCCATCACCAGGTGACCGATAACTTGCCCCCCCAGCCCGATCAACCACCGACCGACACCTCCTCCAACCCTGCAGTCCACCTCACCCTTCTGGCTCACTCCCAGTTCCCCCCTGGGCATGACATGCTGTGGTATGGAATACCTCTTTGGTCAGTTTGGGTCAGGTGTCCTGTCTCTGCTTCCTCCTGGCCTCCCCTCCTCCCTGGCAGAGCATGAGGCTCACAAAGTCCTTGGCCAAACCAAAACATCATTTTTATCAGCTCTGTTACCAGCTGAAAGTCAAAAACACAGCACTGCACCAGCTACCAAGAAAAAGAAAAATGACTGCTACTGCTAAACCCAGGACATTATCCACCCCTTATTCCATACCATTCACGTCATGCTCAGATCCCACATTTTCAATATATCATCACTCTTATCTAAGTGCATTCTCATCGTAGTGCATGGACCAGTCCCTATAAAGCTGCTGAGTCCATCTGGTCCATGATGTCAGGCTCCATCTCTTGTAACAGTCTTCCAGAGCAGGAGAGGCCATGTGCAGTGTTAACACTTGTGAATAACCTGAGCAATAGTGTCCTTTGCTAAGTCCACCCCTCGATCATGAGTCCATCTCGATGTTGCATCTCTGCTCTGATGGCCTTAAGGGTCATGGGCCCACCAGGCTCAAATAATTCAGTGTCCCCTTCAGCAGTTTCTGCAGCTTGTTGCTGGGGACTCCATACAGCTGCCTTCCATTTCCAATGTTTCCAAAGCACTGGAGGGGCCCAGTGGACTAGATACTCGCCCATACTGTCCCACACACCCTGCCACTCATGACTGTCCAGCCTTGGGGGAAACCTCTTGGTCCTCCCATATCGTCGTCTAACCCCAGACAAGACCCAGACCTGACTCTGCTTAAATTTCGGGATCAGAAAAAATGGTGGTGGGTAAAACACACTCTGTGTGTGTGCTAACATGGTGAACACCATCACAATCAGCAGGCAGGTCCCAAGGCTACCCAAAGGCCATCCAAAACCTTCAGAACTCTCAAACGATGCTGCTGTACTTGTCACTGGGGCTGGTGTAGCTGCTGTGCTTGCCGGCTCTCTCACCACCAGCTTCTCTTTTCCTGACTCCAGCTCTTCCTCCTCTGCCTTGCTGGGAAATGCTGCGGGGTCTCCTGCATCCTCCTGGGGCTCGGCGGGCGGCTTCCAGGGAATGCTCTTGGCCATCGGGGGGCTGGGCTCGGCCGTGGGGCTCGGCTCCTCCGCCGCCTTCTCCCGCTGCTCGGCAGCCGCCTCCTTCCGCTCCTCGATCACCCCGAACTCCTCCACCGGCAGCCGCTCCCTGCCGGCCTCCGGTCCTGCTCCCTCTTGGTGCCCGGGGCCGCTCTCCAGGGCCACTTCAGCAGCCGCTGGCTCCTGGGGCCGCTCCCTGTCGACTTCCCAGAGCCTCACGCAGATGGAGGCGAGGGCGAGGGCCAGGACAGTGAGGAGCAGTCCACGGCCACGTCCGTCCCGCCCTGCTGCTGGAGCCTACCCATATTACAAGTGATTGCCATAAAGTACATTGAGACAGGAACCTTAGCCCAAGCCCCACACTTGATAAACACTAACACAGCAAATACCGGCTCCAAGTAAGTGACAACATTCTGAAGCTCTGAGATCAAGAGGAACAGCTCTGAGAGCCAATAAATCAGCATTGTGACGAGTGACTATCAATCCAGTCAGATCTGTCGTTATCTCAACCCCTCGAGCCCCACGTTGGGCGCCAAAAAGTACTGTCGTGGTTTAAACCCAACCGGACAGCTTTCACTCACTCACTCCCCCCCTTTCTTGCCCTCCCCCTACTCCTGGAGGGATGGAGAAGAGAATCAGAAAGAATGCAACTCCCACGGGTTGAGATAAGAACAGTTTAGTAACTAAGGTATAACATAAATCACTGCTGCTACCACCAATAATAGTAATGATAAAGGAAATAACAAGGGAAGAGAATACAACACCCCATCACCAGGCGACCAGTAACTTGCCCGACCAAGCACCGACCGATACCTCCTCCAACCCTGCAGTCCACCTCACCCTTCTGGCTCACTCCCAGTTCCCCCCTGGGCATGACGTGCTGTGGTATGGAATACCTCTTTGGTCAGTTTGGGTCAGGTGTCCTGTCTCTGCTTCCTCCCGGCCTCCCCTCCTCTCTGGCAGAGCATGAGGCTCACAAAGTCCTTGGCCAAACCAAAACATCATTTTTATCAGCTTTGTTACCAGCTGAAAGTCAAAAACACAGCACTGCACCAGCTACCAAGAAAAAGAAAAATGACTGCTACTGCTAAACCCAGGACAACTGATTTGTTGGTATTCAAGTGTGAGATTTTTTCTTTCGAAGTATTTCTAACATGTGAAGAAATAAAATGCTGAAACTAGAAAGCATCAGGATTAAGCAACTCTTCGTTATTTCAACTCCCTTTGCAAGTGCTTCGTACTTGTAAATGAGACCTTATAAGTAACTCATCCAATGCCACAATGGGAATTATTTCAGACCTGAAATTAGCATACAGGTATCTTTGATATCATCCCAATATAAAAAATCACAAACACACATCTCTATCATGTGGAACCTGTCAGTTTGTTATCTCAGTCTCTAAAGTTTTACTAAACAGGCAACAAAACCTCTGCACACTACCCAGAAATGTAGGCTTCAATGGTCCCAATACCAAATTAAATTACAATTTCCCTGTATAATTAATACCAAATTAAACTAGTATTTCACTGAATATAGAGACTTAGGCAGGTCTACAAGGATTCTTAAACTACTATTTCACTGTGTATAGAGGCTACAAGGATTTTAAAGATAAGGAAGGCATGCAACAGAAAAAACAGATCTCTCAAACCAAGGTAGGCCTTCCTCCTATTGATAAGGCCTGAGTAAACAGCTGTGAAAGGAAACAACTTGAGGAGCCCTTCAGGGCTGTAAATTAAACCAAACAAGAACATGTAGTTAATTGGAAAGACTAAACATGCATTCCAGTGTCCTTAACTAATGGATTTTCATTAAAGGATAAAGTGAGTGGGGGTATTTCTCCCCAAATGACCACCATGACCCTCAAAGACCAGTCCTCAAAATTCACAGTGCCTGCGCCACAGCCTTGTCTACCCAGATTACCATATGCAATGAGTAACGGGAATTGGGTGGGCATTTCACAGAATTATAATAAATATGTAGATAATGAAGGTATATAACCTGTAAACTGTCTCTTCTTGGTGTGCATGATATGCAGAGCAATCCTCCGTGCACCCGGTACCATAATAAAGTAATATCAGCTTTCTAACCTGTCACTCTAGTTGGAGAGTTTATTTTCCTGGATTTCATTGACACTCCCAGGTATAATAGCATCAGGGAGACCTAAATTTGTAAGCTGAATTTCACTGGATACTGCGTCAGATATGTTTTTGCAGTACCATTTCACCAGTATACATGAAAAGGCCAGACGTTTTCAGTGTTACTCAGAGTCTTGAGAAAAAATGTAGCAAATAAACCCAACACACCTGATCTGTGTTAAAAAAAAAAAAAAAAGGGAGGCTTGATCATAGAATCAACTAGGTTGGAAAATATCTTTAAGATCATCAAGTGGAACCATTACCCCAGGACTGCCAAGACCAACACTAAACCATATCACTGATGCCTCATCTACATGGTTTTTGAACACTTCCAGGGACAGAAATTCCACCACTTCCCTAGGAAGCGTGTTCCAATACCTGATAACCCTCTCTGTGAGGAAATTTTTCCTAATATCCAATCTAAACCTCCCCTGGCACAGCTTGAGGCTGTTACCTCTTGTCCTCCCACTTGTTACCTGGGAGAAAAGACGAGCCTCCACCTTACTACAACCTCCTTTCAGGTCGTTGTAGAGAGCGATAAGGTTCCCCCTTAGCCTTCTCCAGGTTAAATAATCCCAGTTCCCTCAGCCATAAGCAGCCAATTTCTCCAGGAGAATACTTTGGGAGACAGCGTCAAATGCTTTATTAAAGTCCAAATACACGATGTCCACAGCCTTTCCCTCATGAACCGTAACCCTTCATAACCCTATGGTGACTGGGCCTGATCTCTCCATTTTCCCCGCACGTGCTTTATGACCTCACTTAGGATCATCAACTCCATGATCTTCCCCAGCACTGAGGTCAGGCTGACAGGCCTGTAGCTTCCAGGGTCTTCCTTTCTGCCCTTTTTTTAGAGAGGCGTCCCGCTGGCCAACCTCCAGTCCTCTGGGACCTGCCCACTAGACCAGGACTGCTGATATATGATGAAGAGTGGTTTAGCAAGCTCCTCTGACAGCTCCTTCAGCACTCTTGGGTATAACCCATCTGGCCCATAGACTTGTGTATATCTAAGTGAAGCAGGAGGTTGCTAACCATCTCTTCCTGAATTATGGGGACTTCAACCAGCTCCCCATCTCTGACATCCAATTCAGGGGACTGAGTACCCTGAGGCTGCCTGGTGTAACTATTAAAGACTGAGGTAAAGGCGGCATTAAGTACCTCAGCCTTTTCCTCATCCTCAGTCACTAGGTTTCCCCTAGTATCCAGTAGAGGATGCTGGTTCTCCTTGGCCCTCCTTTTATTGCTAATATATTTGAAAACATACTTTTAATTACATTTTATGGCAGTGGCTATATTAAGTTCCAGCTGTGCCTTCACCTAACAACATCCTTGTACTTTTCATGGGGTGACAGTCTCTTCTTCCACAGGTGATAAATTCTTCCCCCCCCTCCCCCCAGTTCAGTTCAAGCAAGATCTCCCTGTTCAGCCAGGGTGGTCACTTCCCCAACAGTTTGATTTTTGGCACATAGGGACTGCCTGCTCTTGCGCCTTAAGGATTTCATTCTTGAAGAGCATCCAGCCTTCCTGGACACCTTTGTCCTTTAGTAATGTTTCCTAAGGAATTCTGTCAACCAGCATCCTAAACAGGACAAAGTCAGACCTCCGGAAGTCTAAGGTGGAGGTTTTGCCAGCCTTATTCCCAACTTCTCCAAGGACTGAAAATTCAATCATTTAGTGACTGCTTTGCCCAAGATGGCCTCCAACCATCACATCACCCACCAGTGCTTCTCTGTTTGTGAACAACAAATCTAGCCAGGCATCTCCTCTAGTTGGCTCACTCACCAGCTGTGTCAGGAAATTATTTTCCATACCCTCCAAGAACCACCTGGATTGTTTCTTCTCCACTGTGTTGTACTTCCAGGGGACATCAGGTAGGTTGAAGTCCCTCACAAGAACAAGGGTTAATGATCCTGAAACTTCTCCCAGTTGTTTGAATAACACTTGATCTGTAGCTTCATCCTGGCTAGGTGGTCTATAACAGACTCCTGCCAGGTTATCTGCTTGGTTATCCTTCCCCCTGATCTTTACCCACAAACATTCAACATTCTCACTTACAACACTGAGTTCATGGCCTGAACTCTGACATACAACACAACTCCACCACCTTTTCCTTGCCTTTCCCTTCTGAAGAGCCTGTAGCCATCAACTGCAGTACTTCAATCATGCAAATCATTCCACTACATTTCTCTGACAGCGATTATGTCATGATTTCCCTGCTGCGCAATGTCTTCAAGCTCCTCCTGTTTGTTGTCCATGCTGCGGGCATTGACATAAATGCATTTAAGTTACCCTGTGGATCTGGACTCGAACAGCATCATGTTACCCTGTGGCTCATGTGTAGCAAGCCTGGTGATATCCCCTTTCCTCTTCAAACCTAGTTTAAAGCCCTCTCTATAAGCCCTGGTAGCTCCTGGGCTAGAATCCTTTTCCACCTTTGGGACAGGCTTGCCTCATTTGCTGCCACCAGGCTTGGTGCT